TAGGTTAAGCAGTCACTAAGCCACTCCGCACAGCAACAGTTTAACCTCCCACACCCCAATTTCTCCCTTCATCAAAATGGGAATAAAAATATGACCCTTGCTTGATACCCCACACTCATGAAGCTCCTTTACATCAGCAAAAGACGCAAGCTGTAGCAGCGGTGACCATAACCATTAGTTACAATGACTGACTGTGTTCCACATGTGAATTTTGGAAACATCATCAAACACACTGAATAGACCCATCCTGCTGTCTGGCAGGCAGACATTCTCCTGATGGCTTAAGAGTATGTAGCACCTTGATTGTCCTTTTATTCCTACTGGTCTCCTATGATATCACATTATTTCTCCTACAGGATACACTTAAAGATTTTTTATATTCATGCAATGAGTTCAAGTTCATGCAGTAAATATGCTAGTGGCTTGTGCCTCCAGCATGAGCCCAGAGCGTAAGGGCTGGGCTTTGAGAGATTTTGTTACCTATACCGCACTCTCTTCTGTCTCCCCTGGCTGGTAAGGATGGGATTAGTTAGAGCAGCCTGCCACTGTAAAAATAACAAATCTGTCATGCCCAGGAATCCTGAAAAACTTCAATTAACCCATATAATACCAAGACGACATATGAAAAAGCAAAGCTATTATTATAGGCTACATCTAAGTACCTGGTAGAAGGCAGACGAAACAACAGAGAAAAGCATTAGTTCCCTTCACCTGAATATCCAGAGGCTTTATGCTATTCACAGATGGTACCACAGCTCTCGGCCTCTGCGACTGGCTTGTGCCAACCACCCAGGCAGGAAGGGAGCACCGTCAGAGGAACTCCATGCTCTTGCAGCTGAACCACTAACAAGACTCAGGCTGAAGCATGCACCAAGTGTCAGCGCCATTTAAGCCACTGAATACTAGTGCCATTTAATACCATGTACTGAGTTATACAGCTTGGGTTATATGGTCTGGAAAAATCCAACTCTGTACGATCATCATCAATAGCTATGCTAACTCCTTTGGGATGAGAGAGGTGAGCATAAAGAGGCTGACAATTTTTCACGCAGTGCATTTGTTACCTTTTCAAGTTAAATTGATAAAAGTCTCATTACAATGTTTTTTAGGATGCTTTGATTTTTTTGAGTACAAATTATTTTCCAGACAACACACTTATCTTCCCCCCATAGGTGAAGACTTTCAATAGGACAAAGTGCAGGTTAGTATCAAGCTGTTGACTACAGGAGGTCAAGAGGAGTGAGATAAACACATTTATAGGCCTGCAAATACTCAACGTATTTGCACACGCAATACAGGTGAGGCACTTTTTTTTACTTTAATAATTTTATATCACCACACCATTTTAAAACAAGACAAGTATTTTTCTCCTCCACTTTGACCTGAATTAGAGCGAGCGAAAGATGGTAATGACAGGGACATCAGACAGGCCATTTTGGTAGAATGGAAGAAATGGAAAGACACAGGAAGGAAACAGCATGATTTGTCCTGAACCCATGACAAAAAAAAAAAAAAAAAGTTGATGACCAAATACTGTGCAGTCTAGTTGTAACTGCTAAAGTATCAGCAATTCTGAAAAACTTCCTTCTCTCAATGCCCGAGAGAGCACAGCATTCAAAACAAAAATGGACATAGCAGGCACACGCTGGTCTTCATGGTAGAATACTCTCACCATATAAAGTTCTGGAAAGTTAATCTAAAAAGTTCAGACTTTCAGTAAAAAGAAAAAAAAAAAAACAAGCAAGAGAAATTCAGCCTTGATATAACTTCACTTTCACGAAAAAATCCTGTGGCCAAGACTAAATTCTTTCCACTCAGGAAAAAACCCTTTTCCATCAAAGGTGAGCTCTTACAGGTTTTGTGAAGGCTCCTCCTGACAACAAGCCAGCCCTCACCACGGTGAGGCTCAGAGCACAGGAACTGCTGAATACAACTGCAATGACAGAAAAGGGCCCTGCACTGTATTTGTGTGCTGCAGTACCCACTGATGGACAAGGACCTCGCAGGATGATCCCTGTCAGCAGCAGAGGTGTCCCCTTGGCCTCTTCTAGGATCATCTGAGTGTTGGGAGAAGTACTAAACTTGAGCAGAATTCCTATTTCAGCATTGAGTCTTTGTATTGGGACTCTGACTGGAAAAAATCTCAACAGGAGAGGCCAGGGAAGAAAGGCAGCAAATGCTGACTTAGAGAACACTTCCCCCTTCTGAATAAATAAATTAATCGTGCAGAAGCTTTTCCCAAGGGATGGAGCAGGACCGATGGAGCAGGACCAATGAACCAGTACATAGTCCGTGATTCTGTTTTAAGAAATAGCTTTCCAAGAAGAGATCAGAGTCACAGGACTAGCAGTTACCATCCTGAACATCATCTCTGCCATTCAATACAACACCTCAAAATCGTTAAGTAGTTTAGCAGAGAAAAATTCCCATTTACTGAAATGAAATTTCTCAGATCTATACAAAGTCCAAAAAAACCTGAGACTAAAACCTTTGATCATTGATGAATGGTCAAATTCAAAGTTGAAAAAAAACAAGGTAATTCTGAAACGACAAAATTATGCTCACAAAAAGCATCTGAAACTACTAACACAGACCTGCCAAATGGACCTTTTTCAAAGGTAAAAACAAGTAAAAAGGTTCTAGAATATGTTCAGGACCCAGAAGCTACATGCCAAGTTTTACACAGGAGGGAACTTAATCCTTGAAGCTATATTTGGATCTACAATGAGTGTTTAGTCTTAAAAGCTCACAATTTCCACATAGAATTTTAAATTAGAAGGCCTGAAACACATTAGTAATTTATTAAAGGCTTTGGACAACCTTCCTGTGAGTTTTAACCACTGTGACATATCTAAAATTGCCCAAAACTGCTTCACCACTTTTCTTTTCTTGAAGGTATTATTATTAGGTAATATTTGCAATGATGCTGGTATAAATGTGTCCTAGCTACCAAGTCTGCCATTTGTCTAGCTTTTGAAGGATTAGCAAACATAAAGGCCAGAACTGTTTTTTTCCATCCTGTGGCCACTGGGGAGCTGTAAGCTCAGAACCATTGTCTCAGGGCTCTAAAACACGTGATCAGGCTACCACCATGTATTTTCCATCGTGTTAAGACACTCAGTCAAGTCAGTTGTTGTAGCTAAAGCATGACACAGAAGATTTATAGTAAAGTGTATTTCCATTACTCTGCAGTAGCTGTTTTAAGTTTCAGGACAAGATTTTAGGTTTCACCTTTGTCCCTAAGTTCTGAATAGATCTGTCCCCACTCTTGCCTTTGATACTGAACAGCAATCCCAGCAGCTGAAGCACTTCAGCTTTCCATGATGATGGAAAAACACTGAAGATGCTCTTTGACACTAGTCCTCCACTTCAGAATCCTCTTTTGGTTCAATTAAATTATCTGTTCTTGTTCTTCAAAGAACACAGCAGTTTAGGAGATGTTTTGTCAACTACAGCAAAGCAAAGAGAGTTTTTACAGGAGTAATGGGATATAAAAGATGTGGGAACTTTATGCCAATATATTTCTTGCATCAACTAAATATTCAATCTTCTCCTTAAATGCTGAGTAAGTTATTATTTTTATAGTAACAAAAGTAGCAGCAGCATGATCCTAAAACTGCAGATACTGAAGGTCCCATACAATGTGGCACTAGCTATACAAGCAAGACATTTTACTTCAGGATCCCAATATACACTAGAATCCCATTTGCAGAGTTTTAGAGAAGGGTGTAAAGATATTGAGTAGAAGCCTCCAATAAACAGAAGGTACTTGAACACAGTTTTGTGAAATTAATTCAGGGAGTCCCTAGTACTATAAAACACTACAAAAGCCAGATCTGGGTGACGTATATCGGTACACAAAAGGACCCGATATAGCAGGGAAAAAATGACATCTCTCTAGTAAGGCAAGAGTTTCATTCACAGTGGTCTTGCATTAGGCTCAGTTAGGGCACAGAGCAGGTTAGGCTTAAATTCATGGAAATACCCAGAATGAAAACAAAAAAAGTAAATGGAGACCACATTTGATTCATAAAATACACAGCTAAAAATATCTGATCTCAGCAAACCAACCCTGCTGAGAATCAAAGATAGATCATTTCTCAATTTATATGTCTTGACTATATTAAAGTGATAAAAGAGTATTTGCTTATCTTGCTCCCTCCCCATTAATACAAGCTATTGATATGTTTTCAGTTAGTTAAATATGAATTTACCTGTTGAAGCGGTAGATATCCTGTATGTTTCCAAACAGGGCTGATCGCTCCTCTGCCCCCAGGGAGAGCTTGGTCTGGTCAGTGATACAGTCGAGGTAATCCTACAAGAGAAATGAGAAGGAGGCTTTCAGACATTTCCTCCTTTTCTAGATCAGTAAACAGAGCCAGGTTTTATTGTACAAGGTGAGTCTCTTCATATCAGTTTCACCTTATTATTACAGTAAAGCCTTCAGTAGCCCCTCTGTGAACAGCCACTCTGTTATGAAAGGTAACAGTAATTCTGTTAATCAAAACCAAGAAAATGTATTCAGATTTCATTCGCAATGACAGTTTACTTGATCACTTAACTGGCTCAAAGACAAAACAATGTAAAAATAAGAGATGAAGAATATCATTTGATGCAGTCTTAGTAACAGAAAACCTATATAACGAAGAGCAGAAAGCATACGAGCAACACAGGCTCAGAAAAGCAACCACTGCAAAAAAAATTATTTTTTTAATCATAGTTAAGAAAACAATGCAGAGTTTGTAGAGTTTAGATCTCTATATATACATACATATACATGCATGCAATTTAACCACATGTACTGTTACACTGCAAATTACATTGCTATATACTCTAGCAAAGATTTCCTTTTGCATTTATAAAAGTGATTGTGCTTCATCCAGGGACTTTAACTGAATAGGAGTAAGACAGCTAGAAAAAGCTCAGCAGTGTTCTGGGAGAACAACTTTCCCATCTCTTCCCTCACTTTGATAAGAGGTCAGCTCCCAAAGTGTCACTTTTCATTCTGTTGTTGCTACAGTATTAAAATTTCTCAGATAAAGGCAAACAAATCCAGCAGGCTATTCAACTAACTACAGCTCATAAACCAAGAAACACAATGTGCTGCCACATTCATGAAGAAATTCTGCTGGAGGATGGAAATAAAATAAAAGTGAAAACAGCTGAAACAATGTGAAATAAAAATAAATAAAATCCCTTAGCCTGGGGCTAGACAATGTGGTGTGGCAACCTCCCAAAAGCAACATTGCATTCCGTGGTGCTGTAGGAAAGGAGCCCTGCAAAACGTCAACGAGACCATGAAAACTTCTAAGATATAACTGTGTTCCAGAGTCATAAAGAAAAAAGTATTATAGAGCACATGCATTGGCCAAGATTTATTCTCTGTAAATCCTGTGAAGACAAGGGGTTTGGATCAATTGCAGATCTGACTTTTGGATTTTAGATGCCCTCATAAGGAAGTTTAAGAATTACAGCACTCGAGCCTCCATCCCCATATCCTTCTTTCCAACTGAAATAGTGTCAGCAGAGTCACAGCTGTAACCAAGATTCAGGTCTGGGCACCAGTAGGCTTTGCTGTCCCCTCCCCCTATCCTAATGCTCAATAATCCACACCCTTTCATCACTTCCAGATAAAGGTACCCCTCATCACCCCCAAAACTCAGTATTTTTTGCCAAGAGAAAGAAAGCAAACCTATTCCAAGGCAACCTCAGCCTCTTTAGGAAGAGCAATACGCAGCAGCGGGCGCGCAAGCAGGCAGGTCCCTGGGGAGCAATCTCATCTCTTCTGTGATAGCATCCGACCTGTGCTCTACCTTCTCTCCTAGCTGACAGCAGCCTCAGTCCAAGCCTGTCCTTGAAATATATTTGTGCAGTAAGTCATTGGAGACGCATCCCTGGGATTCCCTAAACTTGTCCTTGGCTTTTTATTTATACTTAGAAGCTGCAGAAGAGTTAATGGTTCAGGACAGCGAGGCAGACAGGAGTGCAGCAAGCAATATGCTAGGTCAAAGGCAGAAGTAGATGATAGATTCAGGGCTACTCTGGTGATGGCAGTAAATAAATAACCTTTTCTGCCCAGTAATACAAATCTGCATGCAAAAGCAAAGAACAGAAAAGCTCCAGTGGAATTGCGATCCTCTGAAAACATTTTTAGCACTGCAGGAACACTGCAGCACCCCGAGCTGGTATGATGGGGTGGATTGCAGAGGAATGGAAGTGGGATAACTCCATACAGCATATTTACTGAATAAAGAGGAGTTTCTTTCAAATTCATTCATCTCAGCATAGCTGGAGCTTGGGTTTCATCAAAATAACAGTCCACAGTTATTTCCAGTAGACAGTGTTACAAGTATGACCTGATTTGTGCTCCTTTTGTCCTCTTATCCCAGTTTCCCTGCACATACGCATACTCTTCTCAGTCTTTTACCAACACTTAGTAAGAAAGAGGGAACCAAGTACTTCCTAATGCTCCTGCCAAGCAGCAGCCTGCAGGTGCTTTGGCAGATCTCCAGCATTCCCGTAGCGCACGCCAGTATCAGGTTATACCACACACCCACAGCTTGTGCTCTCTTCTGCTGAAAGTTCCTTAAGATTGTGCTTCAGGCCCCCTTCTCCTCCCAGCATCAGACCAGAAACAAACCAGAAACTAATGGTTGCATTTGTGCTTACCTCGAGCAAAAGGAGACGGTTACATTTACTTAAAATGCTTGGGATTCAGAGGTACCGTGTATCTCACCTGGTACTTGTTAGGAAATGACAGAGGACTCTCACAGCAGGAAAGGGAGGGACTGCTTTCATGTTTTAGCTTTCTATTTTTGTTAATGTTGCTGACTCGAGGCTTGTGCAAGTCTGACAGCTACAGACATGTTTACGTTGCTGTTACATGGAAACAGATACCTGAGCTAGACATGAAGTGCCTAACATGGCACTGACAGGAGGGTATTGCAGCAGCAAAAAGCTTCAGATACCCACGTCTATCTGAAAGAGGTGGACATTGGGCGGTCTTGACACAAGGAAGGGTCTGATGAAGACCAGGCACAGCGCAGCAGCACAGCGCTTGCACTGACACAGCAAGTGGGACCCTTTTGGTTATACTGCTTTATAGAGCACGGGTGCACTCATAAAGGCTTCATGAACTGATCCAGGAAACAGAGAGAGGATTGGCATATAATGTCCTCTGCAAGGACACCAGCACAGGCAGATCAAAGCTACCCAGCCATGGGGGTTTTCCTCACTCTTTCTTAGGAAATGGTACTTTACCCCATGGTAGTCACTGCAACCTCCTGCCACATATCAACAGCTGTTATCATCCGAAGCCATAAGGAAAGGTTTGGAGCTACAGGACAACAGGGCAGGCTGCAACCGTGATGACATGGGGCAGAAATCAATGAAATTTATCAGAACAGAGTATCGGTCTTATTCACTTTATTTCTTTCTTGTCAGCATCTATGGACCATCTGTTGGCACTAAATGATTTGCTTATAACCTTTGCCTTCACTAGGCTTTTATTGCTTCTCTACAGTTACGGCAAAAACATTTAGCTTACTTTATAGGAGGAAAAAACCCACAAATGCCAGTCTCCTTAGACTGATTTATGGAGCAAGCTTTGCTCTAATGGTACTGCACAATTTTTCCATCCTATTTCCTGAAACTCTCCAAAAACTACAAGACTCTTACTAGACTGCCCAGTCTTCCTTGCTGGGTTTGACATTGTCAGCATTTGCCTTTCATCATGCCAAATCCATCAGAAAGAATATCTGTTAGAAGCTGCATATCCTGACCACCTCCTCCTCCTCCTCCATCACACAAGAACAAACTCTAGAGGAACAAAATGATGACAACTAACCTCAGAGGCTAAAAAAATAACTATATGAATTAGAAATAAGAGAAAACTGTCAAGAAAAGGATGACATGAGCAAAAATATCTTCACATATTGATTAAACTAATTTTTTCCATGACTAAACTTTAGAAACTAAATGCAAATTAGTGGGACATTTTCATCTAGCCACCCAGGTTTTCCTTTTAAAATAGACACACACTTAGCTTTAAAAACAGACTACAGGCTGGATAATAATAAATAACTCAGCCATTAATGTGGTAATGCTAAAACTACACATTAAAATGAGTAATGTTAATGGCAATGTTAACATGGTAATGCTAAAAAAATGGGTAAAAGCCACGCTGCCTCATAAAACAAGAATCAATTTTTATCCTGCCCTGCAAGAAAGATATACTACAGAAGTTCTTAGTAATCCCTTTACAGGGCAGGCCTGTGCATATATTGATATCACCAAAGATATGCAAAATTTTTGAAAAAGCAGTGTTGTTGCATAGGTACACCTTTACCAAGGGGCAGGCACACAAGACACTGAAAATTTGATTAAATATCAATACCAAAACAAGAAAAAAAGAGAATGATTCTACCCACCAGGAAGCTTTGCTTTCCAATGCCTAAACACAGGCTGCAGGAGAAAGCAAAGCTGCTGCACACCTCTGGACTTCAGCAACATGCTCTTTGGCTCAAGCCCTAAGGACTTACATCAGGAAAACTCAGTCTCTGGTCAAAAAAAAATGCTTAAAACCAGGTACTTCTAAAAACTCCAATGAGTTCTAGTGTTGCAGCCTAAGGAGAAACATGTAATACTGAATCAAGCAGGATCTAATCCAGGCAGTGCCATAACATCACTCAGACCCCAGTTTTCTGATATTCCCTAGTTCTGTGCTATTAGTAAGGCAGCTTTTACTCCTAGATGCTATACCATACACATGGACATATTTTTGCCTGACTCCCCTCTACCCAGCACAGATGCACATGGCCCAAATCAGGTGGCTGTGCAGAAGAGGAACTACTGGAATAATTCAGCAGCCTTGGCCACCTAAGCACCACTTCACGCCACTTTGAGGAAAAGGTTGCAAGCCAGAAAGAAAACATGCCACAAACTGGATCCTGTTTGCAGCCTTCTAGCTAGACCCATGCTGCCCAAACTATCTACATACTTCTAACCAAAGAGAAAGCTGGGCAGCGGTTGTACAACAGAATAACCATTATAACATGCTCCCCACTGCTAATTCTGCCAATTACATAGGTAAATATAATATGTACCAATTCCCCTTTTGCCTGATTTTTTTTCTATTCTTTTTTCTTATTATTTATTTTACTTAAGGATTTATCCTGCGTGTACAGCAACATACTCTGAATGCCCTGTGGGTCAAAAAATAGAATACTATCCACAACAGGTGGCCAAGGATGCTGAATTCTGAACAAAGCATCTCACTGCAGCTCTTTTCAATGATTTAAAGTACAGCTGTATCCT